TAGAGGTTGTGATGTGTGTGAAAGACAATGAACTTCAATACATATAAATCACATGTCAGTCATTAATACTTAAGGGAAATATACATTACATAAGACACGCATAAAAAATAGTACATGTTTTTTGTCTCACATTTCAGGTGATTTCCCTCTCAGTTATCAGTTTCTCATTCGCACAACACTTTCAATTGAATTACAATTTATGATTAAATCAGTGAACAAATAAATATCACCACAAAAAAGTGCTACCAATAAAAAAGTGTAGCCATTAATTGGCATAAGAAATGTTGTGTTGGGATGAGATTTGTATGTGATTTATATGTATTGAAGTTCATTGTCTTTCACACACATCACAACCTCTACGCCACTATTTTACCACTTCTTCCGCGACTTTCATGAGAAAAACTAGACTTTATTTTCAGTTTTTATTTATTTTTTCGGCCACTAATTGACGTGAGAATCGGCGCCCAAACGAGATGTTTCTCTAATGAAATTACACTTTATTTTTCCGCTAATTTTTTTGTTTATTTGTTTGATTTGTTTGTTTGCCGTCATATGATATCTGTTGATGATTTGTATCATAATTTTTATTGGCATTTGATTTAATTATTTAAGTTTGAAAATCTCAGAATTTGCTGAAAAAACACTAATGAAATAGTTTTTAAACGATTAAAAATAAGATATTTTTGGCCCAAAATAGTGGTCGTAATTATAAACCAAATGGTTATGTAATAAATGACTGGAAATTAAGCAATGATTACACGATATATAAAACGATTTCAATTATTAATTTTAATAATTTGTTATTATTTTTGTTTTAGTGTAAAATTATTTATGATAGTTGTGTTCCCAATAATTTTCAATTTACCCTAAAAATATTTTTGCTCAAAAATGTGATAACATCGATGCCATGTATATTTGCGGTGTTTTTCGTTTACTTCATTAAAAAATTTGTATTTTTCTGTGAATCAAAAAGTATTTTATGCGAAATTAGTGTCTGATATATGACATTAGATTAGGCACTAATTACTTTTGGGTTGTCGTGATATTACCACGTTTGAGATCTCAGTTTTGTGCGCCCAATATATATCATTCATCTTAGAGTCTCTCTCTCTCTCTTTCTCTCTCTCTCTCTCTCTCTCTCTCTCTCTCTCTCTCTCTCTCTCTCTC